ATGTATGTAATGTATGTATGTAATGTATGAATATAATATACAAGTTTCACTTTTTAAATGGAATTTCTGAAATAAATCTACTTTTTCATGATATTCTAATTTTATGACCAGCACCTGTATATTAAAAGATTTTTTCTTCTTTCTGCTACCTTTCATTTTAATTTGATATATTTTTTTCTATGTGAATTTGTTTGTTTTTAAATTAAATGAACAAATATTGTATATAAAAATTACAAGTGATGAATATAAAAGAACTTCCAAGGCCCCTAAACGTCCCCAGGAGTTCTGTTAAAGAAAGAGCAAGCCACTGTTGAAGAAAACTCAAAAGAAATCTAGGCTAATTTGCTACACTGCATGTGAAGTACTGCAGTCAAAGCTTCTTGTCAGCTGGCTCTAGTTGAGGTTTAATAACAGTTTTCTTCAGTCCTTCAAAAATCTCCTGCAAAGCTTTGTTTCAAATCTTATGCCTGGTTCACGCTGCAAAATTGTCAGCTGAATTTCAAAGACTGAGACCCCCCACACAAGGATTAAAAAAAATCATGGATATAACAGGTTTGGTCCTACAGTGTGTTGTGCCACATGACAAATACAACACACCACACACAAACAGATTTCGCTCATGAACATTCAGATGGTAGACGGGAAATGTCACAAGACCGCTGGAGATCAAATGTGAGCTCAGAGTAAATAAATATCAGACGAGGAAGAAGAAACGGCTGTAGTTTGTGGACTATTTTAACAGAGAGAAAAAAAATAACAATAATTTAAATAGACGTCTCCAACGTCCAGCAGACTGTCTGGTGAGCCATGGCAGGTTTTTATCTTCTGGATTCCTCTCCTTGTTTCAGTCGCCTCGCTTTCTGATTGGCTACACGTCACATTCAACTTTCCTTGGGAAATACGTCACACACTGAGATATTGGGCCAAGACAATCCAACGTGTTGAATATCCCTGATTTGAGTTTGGTTTTGGATTTTCTTGGAAAAAAAATTAACACATCTGACAAATAAGTTTTGACAGTGAACATTTACCTCACATGTTTGATCAGCTGTTTCTGTTGTTGGGGTCTTCCTGTATTTTCCCTTAAGAATACATCTCTCTCTACATCTCCAGACAGCATGTAACATCAGCGGTATTAGTTGATAGGAMAGAACAATTACAACTTGCCTGATAGGAAAACATTCCTCAAAACTTCTCTCCATTGTCCCGATCGTGGCGCACCTCCATGGCTAAATAAAAGCCACCACACCTTCGGAATGAAGTTTTTTTTTTAAATCAACGTAAAACAGGGGTTGACGCAACCATTGTTTAGGTTGTCTGAGACAACCGATTTTCGTTTCGGACAACCAGATCCTGCTTCCCAGTTGTCCGGTGAACAACCAAGAAAAAAAAACAGGATTAAAGTTGTCCTCCGCCTGTGTTCGTCATTGTAAAAAAGAACGGGAGAGAAAGAAACTTGTTAAAGCTGTCTAGGGATTAAACTGACTGAGAACCAAAGTCTAAGTTTTACCCAATCAGAACAGAGCAGGGCGGGTTGTACTGTCTGACTGACAGTGCTGCCTTTTTCCTCTCTCTGTGATGAAGGGTCAGCTCGGCTCAGGTGAGCACCTCCCAGGAAAGCCCCCAGCGTTTCCTGGACTATTTTCCACCGAGGATTAAATCGTATTTTATATATATATTATATTCCTAAAAGCAGCTCACAGCATTTCTACCGGAACACCGTGCGTTCACGACTCGAGGACAACAAAACCGGGACAGATCACCTGATTGTTTTTAAAGCGAGGGCTCAGGGAGGCAGCTTGACCAGCAGCTGCTCCTCTCCACGCGCATCGCGGCTCCGACCAGCCCGGGACTTTAAAGTCCACATGTCAACCCCTTCAGACGGTTATTTGTATAATGAGCATCAAAAATCTGTAATTGGCGCAAAAAAAAAAATCAGGATTAATCACAAGCGGGTGGAGTGGAGGTGCAAGCGGACCGCAGCTGTGCGGGGTGCGGAGGAGGAGGGGGGGTCTTTTAAAATACGTGTCTACGTCTGACTTTTATTTTTTCTAAAATCACAGAGTTCTCTGAGTCAGCTTCAGGTGGTTGTATTTAATATCTTCTAAATTTAACCAAGTGTTTCAATGCCTTTAAATTACACAATAACTTTACTGGAGAAACTTGTCAGTTTTGTTAAAAAAAAAAACAGTAAAAATAAATTATTTTTTTTCTGTGCAAAGAACTTCCTCTGCTATAATTTTTTTCAAATAAACATATCACAGCCCCTCAGTTGAAAACACTAAAATGATAGAAAAGATGTTTAAAAACCTCTTTCCTCCGACAGTCTTCAGTCCTAAGAACACTAAACTGTAACTTTTAATAAGGTCATATACACAGTTTACTCCTATTTAAATGAAAATGTTTGACCTGTAAGCAGAAAGTGTAATTGTATGTACTAAACTTTGTATAAACAACAATATACAGTACTTATTAAATTACATTTTAACACCCCACCCCCCCAACTCACACACACACACACCACCACGGTTAAAAAAAAATCCCAGGGGAAACCCTGTCCTGTTTACTACAGCCATTTGTAACGTCAACGTCTGATGAAATTACACTTTGTGTAGCCTGGTTGGTTTGCTCCAAGCCAGTAAATAGAAACACACCTATTTTGCATTTCTTTTTTGCAAGATTTTAAAAGTTCACTCAAAATTCACATCATAATTAGATGGAAACATGGCTGAGAACAACTATGACGTTTTGTTTGAAGCTCATCAAATGTGATCCGGTTGAGACATACCTGTGGTCCTTCTGGGTTTGTGTTGAATTCCTCCACCAAGTCCATGCGACGCTTGGGGTTGACAGTCCCGTCGATAACGCCGTACCTGAAGCCCATCTTTCGCAGGTGAACAGCTACAATGTTGAGCATGCTGGTCCACTGGGACACGATCACACTGCACAACAGGTTACAGGTCAGTTTATTCCATTTTAAATCATGTGAAGGTGAACAAACAGGTGAGTCCTTTTAATATTTTTATTAATGATTCAACTATCCATAACTTATAACACTGGTAATCAAGATTTTGATGAAAGCAGAGTGTAACAAACGGCATCTAAAAATACCTTTTAATGTGATTCAGTTTTACCTTTTCTGGTTGCCACTCTTTTCTCTGATTGCCATCAACTCAGAGGTGATCGCAGAAATCTAAATGTTTGTCAGAAGAAGCAATTAAATTTTTTAAATCAAAAAACACAAATAATTAAACAAAATAAATAAATATAAACATACAATTTGAATTCTATCGGTCATGACTAGGCATGGGACAGTATGAAATTATGACTGTATGATAATTTTGGGCCAAAATATCACGGTTTCGCGGTATGACAGTATTATGATTACAGCTCTAAAACATTTGTTTTGAAATTTGTATCTAAAAACAAAAAAGAAAATAACTTTTTTATTATTATATTCAACTTTAACTATCTTTGGAAGCTGTTTTTATATCTCAGAGGTGTTGTGCTGAACTTTTATTTACCTGTGTGAATCTGTACTTTATTGATTTTTAGCACCTAATGCGATTAGATTATCCTGATAAAGTTTACATCTAGTAAGATAACTGCTTTTCTATTGCTTTATTGTTTAAGACAAATCAGTGTGTACTGCACAAGTCTTTTTATTGAAGTAATGTATCACGTTGGAGGTTTTTATTGTGTTTTAAATTTCAAAAGGGTTTTTGACGTAAAATTATATAATTATTTGCACACAGAAACAAGACATAACTATGAATGTGTGTTTATGAAACGCACGTTCAGCTAACTAGCTGCTCGGCTAAAGGAGGCATTTAGTTTTATAAGCCTTTCACTTAAAAGGTATCAAATGCACAATCCAACAACTCAAACAGTTTTGCAGACAAGCTGTGATCAGCGCATTAAACCACAGCAACGCGGTGATATGTTTCACAATCTGATGCTAACATTAGCTTGTTCATTTCAAGATAGCATAAGTTTACCTGGAGCTCAAAAAGAAAAAAATCAGTAGGTCCTCTGGATGGTTCTTCTTTAGTGAAACGTTTCGTCTCTCCTCCAAGAGACTTCTTCAGTCTGATGAGTTTCACATGAACTCAGCCTTATAAGCACTGCCTCCACA